CGGGCCAGGGCGGGGGGCGCGGGGTCCCCGGGTCGACGCCGCCCGCCTGACGCTCCCCACCCCGCAGCGGCCTTAATCGTGCGCGACCAGACCGAGCTGCGGCTCTGCGAGCGCTCCGGGCAGCGCACGGCCAGCGTCCTGTGGCCGTGGATGAACCGCAACGCCCGCGTGGCCGACCTCGTGCGCATCCTCACGCACCTGCAGCTGCTCCGCGCGCGAGACATCATCACGGCCTGTGAGTGCGGCCGGTGGGCGGGGAGGAGGGAGCCGGGGCCGGGAGCTGCCACTCACTCTCCCTTCCTTTCCTCCGCGGCGCCCAGGGCACCCTCCCGTCCCCGTCCTGCCCCCCAGCGCCACCACCCCGGCCCTGGGGCCCAGCAGCATCTCTGCCCCCTCCGAGGCCAGGAGCCCCAGGAAGTGGCAGCCCTCAGCCTCTACTCTTCTCTCCCCAGGTAAGAAACAGGGCTGCTGGACTCGGTGGGTTTGGAAAAGGGGTCCCTTGACTGTGGCCTCTCACTTTTCCAGGCTCCCAGAGCCCACCTGGCCCCGAGTTGGACCCCACAGCACACCCAGCTGCTGTACGGCCAGCACTGCCAACTCCAGCCCCTTCCTCCACCGAGGTAGGTGCCCCGAGCCCCTGGGGAAGGCCCTAGGCAGGGAAGAAGAAACAAGCCTTTGTTATGTGCAGAGCCCCAGGGAGCAGACTGACAGCCAGCCGGGAGGCAGCTGGGGGCCCAGGGCCAAGGGAGGAGACCCCAGACAGCTGAGCCCACCTGCCAGGCCTCCTCCCACAGCCGAGCCTGGAGAGCCCACTGGCCGTGCTGCAGGGGGCCCACCCCGCCCCGTTCTGCTGGCCCCTCCCGGAGGTTGCCCAGGGCACTCGCAACTTCTCTGAGGAGCTCAAGGTCGGCGAGGGTGGCTTTGGCTGCGTATACCGGGCTGTGATGAGGAACACGGTGTACGCTGTGAAGAGGCTGAAGCAGGTGCGTGTGTCCCCCTCCCCTTCAAGGTTCCCGGGCTGCTCGGTCACAGGGGCTGGGACAGGTGGGAGTGGGAGCAGAGAACAGCCTTGGCAAGCAGAGCCTCACGCTGCCTCCCGTCCACTCCCCGGGGCGCCGGGGCTGCAGGACGCCAACCTGGAGTGGAGCGCCGTGAAGCAGAGCTTCCTGACCGAGGTGGAACAGCTGTCCCGGTGAGCCACTCTCCCGTCCGCCCCCAGGCCTGTGCCAGCCTCGCTAGGCCCCTCCACGGCCAGGGGGAACGTGTGGCAGGGGCGTGGGGCCAGGCACTCAGTCCCCTCTTTGGTGAGCAGGTTTCGTCACCCGAACATTGTGGACTTTGCCGGCTACTGCGCTCAGAGTGGTCTTTACTGTCTGGTCTACAGCTTCCTGCCCAATGGCTCCCTGGAGGACTGCCTCCACTTGCAGGTACCCTCGTCTGAGCTGGCGCAGGGCCCTGGAGCTGTGGCACACGTGGAGTTGGGAGGAGCTGGGCCTCAAGCCTCGCTTGGACTCTGCGTGGCCAGGAGGGCCCGGGTGCCCGGCTCCTCCCAAGCTCGGTGGCCATGCCCCGGAGTTGGGCCCTCTGTCTCTCAGCAGCGGGGTCCTTGGAGGAAAGCAGCCCAAACTTCTTTCCTTGTGTGCCGAGGAGCCAAAGGGCGGCAGCAGCACAGCCCCGAGAGAGGGCCTCAGTGGGCAGCTCTGAGCGCGTGGGCTCAGCATGGCTACTGCTAGGGGCGAGGCTGTAACGAATCCCCAAAACAGACTTCACCTTTAAAATGCTTTGCGGAGCCCGGGCCAGCTTAACCATCCCCCTTGTGAAGTAGGTAGTGGCAATTTTGATCTGCTTTTTCCCCAAAGGGGAAACTGAGGCCAAGGTGGGGGTCATGCACCCAGCAGAGAGCAGCAGGGCTTCGAGGGCGGTCTGGGTTACCCCAGCTCCTCCTGCCTGTATTCCTGGATGCCAGCCCATGGTCAGGAGATGGATTCAAGCCCTAGCCCTGAATTGGCAGGGATCTGGGAGGGAACACATCCCTGCTCCTCACTAGGTAGGTCTCAGTTTCCCTACCTGCAGAAGAGACTCGGGATACCTGGCGCACCCAGAACGGGCTCTGGCGCCGCGTGCCCCGCCATCTCGCCCACGTTCTCCCCTCCTGGTCCGTGTGTGTGGCCTGAGCCGCCCCTCCGGCCACTGCCTCCTTTCCCTGCCCTCTCCACCTGCTGCCTCTCCGCCGTCCCCAGTGCTCACCAAATCCTCAGCGGACGTCTGTCTCTGCTCTTCTCAGCCCTCCCTGTCTAAGCCCTCCTGAGGCCTCCCCGCTGCTCTTGGGGTGAAGGCCACTTCCTTAACGTGGCAGCCCGGGCCCCACCGCCACCGCCCGTCTCGGGGCCCCTTCCCGGATCTGTGCTCCTTGACTAGCTGTGATCCCAGCTCCAGCACCATTTAATGAACACGTGGCAAGGGACTTCAATGGCAAGGACCTTGCTCTGTATCTGCCCCACAGAAGGACCTGGTTGAAGAGGAGGCGGAGGAGGCCGGAGTGGCCCTGAGGGGCGCCCATAGCACAGCTCAGGCAGCTGTGGCCTCAGATGCCTGGGCAGCCCCAATCGCCACCCAGATCTTCAGGAAACACCTGGACCCCAGGCCTGGGCCCTGTCCCCCGGAGCTGGGCCTGCCCCTGGGCCGGCTGGCCTGCTGCTGCCTGCACCGCCGGGCCAAGAGGAGGCCGCCCATGACCCAGGTAGCCCTGCGGCGAGGGCCCCGCCGCGCGTCCTGCGCTCCTACCCCACCCCACCGACTCATGGCGGCAGTGAGTTTGCGAGAGAAACAAAGTGCCTTTGGTGCGCCCCCGTTGGGTGCACAAGGCCACTGTGTCTGCATTTACCCTCTCCCCGGCCCTGGCCAGAGAGCTGAGCAAAGAGGAGCCCCGATGCATGGGAAGTCTTTCTCAGTCCTTGGTGCTGGCAGCCAGGACTCAGGGCTCCTGGTAACAGGGACAGAGGATCACGGGCCAGAGCTTAGCCAGTTGCCAGGTTGGTGGTCCCCACAGCCCCAGGAAGGTGGCAGACAGCCTAGACAAGTCTTGTGGTTTGACCACAGGGTGTCTGCTAAAAGGTCACCCGGTAGGCAGCCTCTGACCTCCTGTAACTTCACAAGGGGGAGAGAGACTTGCCATCGGCAGCGTCAGCCCCAGGCTGATTCCTGTGAGGCAGAGATCAGACGTGCCACCGCCCTCCAACCTTTTTACCTCCTCCAACACCCACCGTCCCAACCACGGCACTCTCTACTTCTCTGCTGGGTGGGATAATTTATTCCAACAGCCACGCAGAACTCCCAGACCGTGCTCAGGATTGTGGGGTTTGTTCCGGCAGCAGCAGGTTCCACTTCCAGTTCAGGAATACACTCAGGATGCAGTGCTTGCAACAGGACAGCTTCTCCTAGCCGCACCCAGAATGTGGCTTCTCGGGCCCTCGGCGTACCGCCCGGGCCTCGTCCCTGCTCTGGCGAGTGTTACGAAGCTCTCTTAGTTCAGCAAACCGTGGGCCGCTCTCGTGCTGCCGCCGCCGCTGCCACTGTCTTGCACCACATCAGCGGTGCCACCATTCCCGCCCTCCCTTTCAGATAGAGGCCGTTGGGCACAGGCGTCTCGGGGCCGAGGACCCACACGCCACTCCTGGCTCATCTGTCTGGATGGCAGTGAGACCCCCCCACCCCCACCCCTGTCTCTGAGTCAGTCATTTTCAGCTTAGCCAGGTGGCAGAACTGACGATCCCCATAGTAGGGTTCCACACCCCTTTTCTGCATAGTCCCAGCCCCACAGGGGTGTCAGACTCCTTATTACATTACTAACAAGCTCGCCAGTCCCCCTAGTGGACCACTACACACCGCACGTTTGCCTAGGCTCCCCCAGTCATCTGGTGGGAGTTACAAACCGTGGCTAGAAGGGTCTCATTGACTCACGCTCTACCCCACGGTGCTGCAGCAGGGCTGTGCTCTGAGGGCCGTGACGAAAGCCAGCACTGGGGCCTTTTCTCCACCCGGCCCTCCCCAGAGAGCCTTTTCTGCCCCCACAGGT